ACATTTATATTACAGAGTTAGCAGACCATGCCAAATGTAAGGAAATACAGAGAAATATTTATTTTGGTTCGTTTGCCTCCTCATATCTTAGGTTATCTAGCATATCAGATTATCATACAATACGGTGTGGGTCGTGGTGGGATTAGACCGGGAGAATTTATGTAGCCTCCACAGTTAGCTCGTATCCACGGTTAACTCCGCTCCAACATTTTATTTATCTCTGCTCTTGATTGTAGTGTTTCCACGGCAACACACTAACAGCTTCCGGCAATCTTGGAATTTTGTATATTATATGAAGAACATGTTCAAACACAGGGTATGTTGTCACTCTGTATATTTGTAGTACATGTTATAGTGTCATACTGTATGGCTATAATAAAGAGTATGTCCTATAACTGTACAGAGTATGTATATATGTATATTTGTATGCTTCATGTCCAAAGTATGTAGCTGTATGGTCTATGTTCACAGACTATAGTGTAGAGAACTAATCTTCGAAGTTCAGTGCGACAGGTTCATAGCGTTATGTTCACAGACTCATAAAGAGCAGAAATTTCTAATATAGATCAATGAACACGTACTTGCATGAGGGGCTAATGTTGTACTAAATGTTTATGTTCACCGAATTTTATGGAGCAAATAATAATAGTATTGGGCACTAATGTCCTACTAATGTTCTGCTATAGTTCAGTGTTCTATGATTGCAGACTAGCGTGGGCACTAATGCTCTGTTATAGTTCTGTTTCCAGACTGGTGTTGGGGATTCATGTTCTACTATAGTTCTATGCTCAGTGTCCATAGACTGGCATAAGGCACTAATGTTCTTTTATAGTTCTATGTATCAGGACTGGTGTGGTTGAACATGTTCTACTTTAACTCTCTGCACAGTGTCCATAGTCTGGCGTGAAAACCACTAATGTTCTACTGTAGTTCTATGTTCAATGTTCACAGACTGGCGTGGAGCCCTAATGTTCTACTGTAGTTTTATGTTCAATGTCCACTGTAGTTCTATGTTTAACGTTCACAGCCTGGTGTGGAGCCCTAATGTTTTGCCTAAAGAGTGTACAAAGAGCTAGGTCGCAGTGGAGATGTCTCTTCTGCCTTGTGGGAGTTCTATCTCTGATGGCCATCAATGTACTGTTTATAGCGAGGATCAGGCCTCACAGGGAAGGCAGCGGCATCGTCTTCAGTGTGATACGGACGGTGTTGCCAGAGAATATAGGACAGGAGCTGTTTACACCTCAGCAGTGGAACAGCAACAACACTGAGATCACAGAAGCTCTTCGGTGTGGAAGTTACCAGGTGTTTCAACCGTTTCAGCTGCCGCCCTCCAACAAGAGCACAACAAACATCACGCAATGTCCGGACATTCCTCCCTTCCTTCTTGGTGAGCATGTCTTTCTCCTCTCAACTGTGCAATGTTCTACCACACTAAAGTCTCTTCTACGAGAGTGTCTTTTCGTACTATTTCTACGAAATTTATACCCCCTTCTTGTTGATTTGTGCTGCTCTCCCATAATATTCAAATGACCTGCCGTCTATTTGTGTGATTTCCCCCGTTTATTTGTACGATTTGTCCTGTTTATTCGTGTTGCTCTCTCTCTTTCTGTCTGTGTCTTCTTTCTGTTTATTTGTCTGAAGGTCTCTCTGTTTATTTGTGTGATTCTCTTTGTTTATTTATTTGGCTGTCTGTCTGTCTGATTCCTCTTGTCAATTTTGTGTCTCTTCATCCCTGTTTGTGTGACTCATTGTCTATTTGTGTGATTCGCCCTCTCTGTTTGTGTGGATCTCCCTGTCTGTCTATGCTGCTCTTACTGTCTACTTTTATAAATCTCCCTGTCTTTTGGATGTCTCTCTTCGTATATTTCTCTGACATGGCTCTATTTTATTGACTGTTTTTAATCCTGATCTCTCTCTCTCTCTCTCTCTCTCTCTCTCTCTCTCTCTCTCTCTCTCTCTCTCGCTCGCTTTCTCTCTCTCATCTCCACATGATTTCCCCTGTCCTCTATATGTCTCTCCCTGTGCCCCTACATAACCCCATCTTATCTCTCTGCCTCTCACTGGTTTCATCATGTGACCATCCACGTATTGACACGTGTCTTCCCCTAAGTCTACCTGCATTTGTTTCTAAGTCTCTCTCTGACTCAGTCTCAAAGTCTGTCTGTGTGTGTGTCTAAGTATCTTTCTATGCTTGTTTCTGCGGTGTCTGTCTAGGTCTCCATGCTTGTCCAAGTGTGCTTGTTCTGCAGATTGTCCGATGGTTGGTTGCAATTAGATACAAACTAAGCGTGTTAAAAAAAAGGAATGATAAATTTCCTTTTACAAAAGTGTGTGTGTGTGTGTGTATATTTATAGTCAGAGTCTCGATATCTGTCTTAGTCTTATAACTGCCTAATTTAATGTGTCTGTCTGAGAGTTAGTTAGTCAGTAGGTTATCCTCATGACACATCAAATCATTTAGTCCATGAGGGCTCGCATCGCCCCCGCCCGCAGCGTCTAGCAGCTGATGACACCAGCCCTGTGTTGGTTTCTTATTTTTCTTTGGCTTCCTGCACAGTGCTCTTTTCTGGTCACATGTTTTAATTGCAGTCTGGTCATGGTGTATGTCCTCTCTTATGTCCTCATTAAATGCAGCAAACCAACCACGTATCACAATCGAAAATGAAAAAAAAAAAGTAACAGATTTCGATTATTAGGGCTTTTTAGTGAACAACAGTGGCGACTGCTCAAAAGAAGTCAGAAGAAGACTTGCATTGGCAATGTAGAGATTAAATAGCATGAAGAACCTATGGCGAAGCACCTGTAAATTGGTTAAAGTAAAAAATCTTGAGATCGTGCATTTTTCCTGTGGCAACTTACGGTTGTGAGTCTTAGACTCTTACTCAGTCACTGAGGAAAAATACTGGAGCTTTCGAATTGAAATGTTATAGAAACATTCGTAGAATACCATGGATCAGGAAAAGGAAAAACATCGACAATCTAAATGAGTTGAATATTAAAGAGAACTGGCTCACAAAAATAATTATGTCCCAAAAGTTGAAGAATTTAGCCACATCAAGCGCAATAGAGGCTTAGAAAAGACAATGATGGGATGTGCAGTTTGAGGAAGGCGAGGCAGGGGTCAACCACCGCGAAGATGGATACAAGACACTGAAAATGCATTGGCATTGAAAGCACATGGGATGGGAGAGCTAGTTAGGGAAAGGGATACTTTCAGGCGTGCCGTGAAGAGAGCGACGTTCTGTGAAGGACTTGCTGATTGATGATGATGATGGTCATGGTTGCAGATTCACAGTCATCCCTTGTTTCTCGCAAGCGTTTTACTTCTCTTAGAGCATTCAGAATATCCGCATGGTCCATGGCTCGTCCGCCCTCCACAGTAGCTTTACCTGCAAGCCAGTCAGCTTGCTCATTTCCTTGCACTCCTGCGTGCTCTGGCGCAGATATGAAACTGATATGTGTCAGCCTCGACCGCTTTAGAGATTACAGCTACTGTCTTCGGATCCAGAACTTCTCTATCTTTCTGAGCGTACTCATGAGTCAATGAGAAAGCTGGCGCGGGAGAAAAGCCTGTGTCTCCAGCCATATTATTGCTTTGATCACCGCCATGACCTCCATAGTCAGACTACTTGTAGTCAGTGCAACAGTAGCAGATTCTTGCTTCACAATTGTTACTCCAGCCTGCGCCGAAAAAGACCAAGAGCTTCTCACATGGCGAATGGTTGACCCATCTGTGTTAATGACAGTCATCCTATGATAGAGGATTCTCGAAAATCACAGCCTTCAGTTCTGCCTCAACAGCTCTCCGACTTTCTTTTCCACATTTTTTGTTTGTTGGTTGTCTAGACGGATCCAAACAGAAAAGATCGTGTCCCACCCTATCGGCACTTATGCCTTTTCTCACCAGGTTCTGTGTCTTCAAGTGAACGCACCTGCTAAAAAATGTTCGCTGTCTGATCCATTCCCGATTTTTCTCTTTTTAAACTGCTGCCTTTCCAACCCTCTTCGCCCTCCCCCTATCTTAATGTCTCTATGCAGCGACTGTAGTGTGTCTACGCTGACTGTGAGGTGTTCGTTTGTTCTGCAAATTTGTATTCTGTCCTCCATAGTTGGAAACTCATAAAGGTAGTGCATCGCCATGCATGGACATTCTCTTGTACATCTAAGTAAAATGCACAAAGCCTCGTTCGGTATCCTTTCCCTGCTCTCCATCTGCTTATGGCCGAGAGCCAGGATCGCCATCGCGTATTCAAAGACAGAAGGGATCAGACCATGATATAAAAAACATAAATGAAGCTGCTCACAGTTTGCTGCAGCCATCACTCTCATCGCAGTCAAGCCCCGCTTGACTTTTATTGTAACCTGGTCTATATTCTCAGCATAAGCACTCTTTGAGTGCCTGTTTCTGTGTTTAGATGCTAATGTCTGTGTAAACATTTGTGTATACCTGATTTTTCTCGGACTGTCTTTCTGTCTGTTTGTCTGTCTGTCTCGCTACTGCTGTTGTAAGTCTCAAAATCTGCCTATCTCTGATTCTATGTTGACTAAGTCTCAATGCTTGTCAATGATTAAAAAAAAAAAATTAAAGTGTCAGTCAATATCTTTCTGCCCGTCAATAATTATATATTCGACGACATCTCATTGTCTCCATGTTGACTTATTTTTCTCTTGTCTGTCTGACAACGATTCTTGTTTGTCTAAGTCACATTATCTACATGTCAATGACTTGTTCCTAACATCTGTCTGTCAACGATTCAGTGTTTTTCCTAGTCTCGTTGTCTGCTTCTCAATGATTTTGTTTGTTTGTCTAAGTCTCAATGTCTGTCACCTTTTGAGTCTGTCAATGTCTGAGTCTCTGGTTCAGTCTATCCCTAAGTCCTAATATATTTCTAAGTCTACTTTAAGTCTGCCTCTCTGTGTCTAAGCCTCGTTGCTTGTTATAAGTCTCTCCTTTAGTTTAAATCTCAGTGCTTACCTATGCACCCGTATGTATCTGTCAGGTAAACAAAAACCCGGGAAAGTGCCCACAGACCCTAGCCTGCTGGTGGCAGCTCTGTTTCCAGTGCTACAGCCCGGGGGAGACTACAAACCGCAGTCCTGCATTCCTGTGGAACGAACCGCCATCCTCATCCCATACCGGCATCGCTGGGAGCATCTCTTCACACTGCTGCCCGTCCTTATCCCCATGTTGATCCGTCAGAACTTGCACTTTACTATTTTTATTATTGAGCAGGTAAATATGTTTGTTCACCTGACTGATTTCTACCATTGTCCTTTATGTGTATCACTGATCTCGTGTTCTCGGCAATTTTTCTTAATGTGTGTAATTCATCTTGTGTTGTCTGTCATTGTCTTTTATGGGTATCACTGATCTCATGTTCTGTGTCATTGTTCTGTGTGTGTATCACTGATCTCCTGCTCTGTGTCATTGTTCTTCACGTGTATCTTTGATCTAATGTTCTGTGTCATTGTTCTGTCTGCGTATCAATGATCTCATGTTCTGTGCCATTGTTCTTCATGTGTATCTATATTCTCATGTTCTGTGCCATTGTCCTTCATGTGTATCTCTATTCTCATGTTCTGTGTCATGGTTCTTCATTGCTATTGCCGATCTCATGTTTTGTGTCATTGTTCTTCATGTGTATCTCTATTCTCATGTTCTGTGTCATTCTTCTTCACGTGTATCACTGATCTCATGTTCAATGTCATTGTTCCTAATCTGTATCACTGATCTCCTGTTGCGTATCCTTTTCTTTACTTCTATCATTGATCTCATGTTCTCTGTAATTGCTCTTCGTGCGTATCACTGATCTCTTTATGTCTGCCATTGTTCTTTATGTTTATAACTGATCTCACGTGTGCAGCCCGGAAAAGAAAACTGATCATTGCAGTATAGTGAGGATGATGCAGCGGGAAGTGACGAGGGCATCTTGTCGATTTTTGACGCTCAAAGGAAGGCAAGACGGACATATAATCAGACTGCTACTGGCGTCATTGGTACTGGAACTCTGCGTTGGCTGCCAAAGATGGGGAAGGAGCGTTTATGGAAATGCCCCGAATCATCTCGACTCTCGTTCTTTGTTATTGTTATTCACGTGAACCACTGATCTCATGTTTTCTGTCATTGTCCTTCGTGTGCATCTTTGATCTCATCTTCGCTGAAATGGTCCTGTATATGTGTCATTGATCTCATCTTCGCGGAAATGGTCCCGTATAAGTGTCACTGATCTCATGTTGTATTTCATTGTCTGGCAAATTATCATTGATCTCATGTTGTATTTCATTGTCTGCTAAATTATCATTGATCTCATGTTGTATTTTATTGTCTGCCAAATTATCATTGATCTCATGTTTTGTTTCATTGTCTTCCAAATTATTATTGATGTAATGTTGTATTTCATTGTCTGCCAAATTATCAGTAATATTATGTTGAATTTCATTGTCTGCCAAATTATCATTGATCTCATGTTCGCTGATATGGTCCTGTATATGTGTCACTGATCGCATGTTGTATTTCATTGTCTTTCAAATTATCACTGATCTCATGTTGTATTTCATTGTCTTCCAAATTATCATTGATCTCCTTTTCTCTATCAATGTCTTCCAAATAAATCATTGGTGTTATTTTTTTCCATCGCTGTCTACCAAATATAACATTGATCTCAGTGTCTCTTTCTTTACCGACCGAGTGTATTACTGATCTTATAGTCTCCTTCTCTTACATCTCTTTAAAGCAATGTCCCGAGTCGTTGCTCTTCTCTCTGTGTTGGCTATTTGGGCAATAGTAAAAGTTCTCATGACAGCAGTGCCAGTCCTCATGACAGCAGTGACAGTTCTCATGACATCAGCGTCAGTATCAATACATGGTAAACAGTGACAGCGACGATACCTGGTTTAGAACAGATTCTGAAACAAGACTATAGTCCAGCACTGGAAGCACGCCAGAACTTTCAGCTGGAGTTTACAACCGGTGGAGGGGACGAAGCAAAGTATGGATGAAGACTGCTGACCATTTCTAACGTCTGAACTTTGTTTTCTGGCAACAAGGACCTGCCATCCAAGTTCAACAAGGGCTTGCTATTTAACGTGGGCTTTCTGGAGGCCTTGAAGATGGACAACTACACGTGCTTTATCCTGCACGATGTGGACATGCTCCCCGCGGATGACCGGAACATGTACAGGTGTCGGGAGGACAGCCCCGTTCACCTGGTGGCTTCCCTGGATAAGTTTGCTTACAAGTATGTGATTTCTTATCTGCTGGCTAAGTGTGCTTACAAGTACGTGATTTCTTATCTATTGGATAAGTTTAATTATAAGTATGTGATTTCCTATCTGTTGAATAGGCTTGGTTACAAGCATGTAATTGCTTATCTAGTCGGTTCTGTGGCTAAGACGATGCGAACGCTTCGCAATGCCGAGATGCCGGGTTCGATCCCAGCTGTGGGCCATGCGCCTTGCGTTAGTTTCGACAGTAGTATCAAAGAAGACGACCGTCCAGTGGCAATGGCAAACAACTGCACGTAAATTTGCTTACAAAAACCACACAGCCGGGGGCTGTTGGGGTTGGTTCTGCAACGTCCTGTTAAGGATACGCAACTAACCTTAAATTGCTTATCTATTGGCTAAGTTGATTTCAAGTATATGATTCCTTTTCTATCTACTGGCTACAATTGACTTCAAGTCTGTGATGGCTGTGTGTATAAATTAGACAAGTTTGATTACAAATATAGTGGTCCATCGGTATAGATCGGCTTTGGTCTACATCCATCTTGTATGTCAAAATGAGTCACGACACTGCACGCTAAGCTTGTTTACCTATTTCCATAATCAAATATAAGTTTGCCAAATGGATAGATGTTATAGATGCAGAGAATTAGCACCCCAACAAAGCTCAGACAACCCGTAATAGCATTGCCTGGAAAAAAACAATGTCACATTTCCGAGATATCAGGAAAAGGCACAGTTCTTTGCACATTAAAAAAAAAAAGTCAAACATTGTGAGCCTCAGCCAACTTCAGTAAGGGAACAGCAACACACACGAATTTCAGATTTCTGAAGTTTCATTGAAAAAGGACGAATGATGTGAATCCTTTCCTTATCTATTGAATAACGTTGATAATATGTACTTGTTTGTCAGTCTAATGATAAGTGCATCTGCATGCACACACATACACACACACACACACACACACACACACACACAGAAACGATCGCTCCTCGAACGATCCTCTAGATAAATCCTCTCGATCGATCCCCTTGATCAATCCCCTCGATTGATCCCCTAAATCGATCCTCTCGATTGATCTTCGAGATCGATCCCCCCGATCGATCCGCCCGATAGATCGACTTTAACTTGACACTTACTGAAGGTAACTTGGAGTCGCTGCTGCATCTGAAAAATAGCAATCGGAAATGCCCAGTGAGTGTGCAGTGACTTTGTTATGTGATAGCATAAAACAACATGCCCTACTCTGATGAAGACCACATTAGGGAAGCTGGCATCTGTGCCTGTTGCTGTAGCTATAGCACCCACCTCCCTCCCCCCCCCCCCAAACATTTCTACCCATGTCGGCATTTGGATGGCGACCATGATTTAATCCGTATGCCCGTTCAATCCAACCCCCAGCCGTTTTATCTATTTTCTCAATCCCCATATGTATATTCCCCTATTCAACCTCGGCAAATCTTCATTTCCTCCGTCTTTATCTTTAATCTACATATTTCCTCAAACTTTTCCCACAATCCCCCCCCCCCCACCCACCCCATGCCTTTTACTCTTCTTGATCTGCACATTTGCCCTAGACTCATAAACTGATAACGCTGTCAGACGACAACCAGACGACAGAAATATCAAGGAGTGTGTGTAACCCAATGCTCAGGGCGGGGACACGCATGAGAGAGTCGAAGCGTGGGATCGTATCCTGTCTCCTGGGTCACGGGGCGGGGGATGGGACACCACTTCTAGGGTTTAGTTACAGATGGTGGGTTGACTGTTGATATCCGGTGTGTGTGTGTGTGTGTGTGTGTGTGCGCGCGCGCGCGAGCTGGGCGTGTAATCTCGTAACCTGGGCGTGTATGTGTGTGAAAGAGAGAGAGAGAGAGAGAGAGAGAGAGAGAGAGACCCATGTGGGTTCCGGGGCCCTATTATAGTGAAAACAAGAATAGACCAACTGCCTACCCACAAGCATGTCTTAAGAGTCGACTAATTGGGAGCTTTCTTCGAAGTCGGAGTGCATCTACCTGAGAGGCAAGGAACCAACAGTTTGCATACAAATGAGTCAGATCTGTAAAACGCATACACACGCAACAATCATGTTCTGGAACAGGACTGCAGTCCAGAAGTGGACGAACAACCAGAACTTTCCGCCGGAGTTTACAGCTGGTGAACGAAGAAGAAGAAGAAGAAGAAGAAGAAGAAGAAGAAGAAGAGAGAGAGAGAGAGAGAGAGAGAGAGAGAGAGAGAGAGAGAGAGAGAGATCGTTATCACCGGCATTTATATTTCTGAAATCTGGAATCGGGAATGGTCGAACCTGCGAATATAACTGTTATTGCTTACAAGCCAACAATGTCAAGTACCAACTTGCTCCAATATTAAAACACCCTTAAATCCCAGTGTTTAATAGGCTCAGGTTATCAGTTGTGTTGGCTACATGAACCGGCACGTCAACAGAAGGTCTCCAAGGGTTCCCTAATGTCTGTTTTGAATGCCTTTTCCCTCTAACAATGTTTTCTCGCGGTGGCAGTTCTGCAGTGTGTGTTGAGGTATTTGAAGTGCGGTTTGGCAGGAACACTGAGTGATCGTGCAAAAATTCACCCTGTGACCGAAATGAATGTACTGAAACATCACATCCACGAAGACTGTGGTACAGAAGTAGTCTTCTCCTCCTCTCCTGAGCTCAGAATTCCTGGCGGCAAACGAAACAGAGACTAGCCATTACTAGGGCTTTATAACCAGGTAGACGCCCTTTAAGGATGTCACATGATGATGATTCAGCGCAGTGTAGACAGACAGGTTGAGACCACGTCTTGACCGGTCATGTTTCTCCAACACAGCACAGACAGGTGGAGAGTTGGTCTTGCCTGGCCATGTTCCAGCCACTGATTTTAGGCATGTCACTGTGAGCATACAGCCGGATACTGTCCCAGTGGGTAGAGCTGATTAATGTGCGAGAGTTCATGTGATTTGACCTTATTCTCCAGGCTCCTATATGCTGGTCTGTTTGGTGGCGTGGTCGGCTTCACACGGAAACAGTTCGAGCTCATCAATGGCGCCTCCAACATGTACTTTGGTTGGGGAGCCGAGGACGACGATATGAGAGACAGGTAATAATTATATTATTAATATCTCGCACATAAAATTGAAGATGCTTGCCAGAAAAAAATACAAACTGTCAGCTACTTTCTTCGACCTGACTAAAGCCTGTGATAAGGTCTGGAAGAAAGGACTCTTGTTAAAACTAGCACAGAGTAGGATGAAAGGGTATATGTTAGCCTGAATTAGAGACTTTAAAAAAAAATAGTCAGACTTGAACAACACACGAGCAAGCTGGTCAGGTTACAAGAAGGTGTCCCCCAAGGAGGTATTATATCTCCTATCCTTTTTTTTTTTCATCAATGGCCTCCCAGAACAATTCATGCTCGCATTCAGAAGGCCCTACATGCAGATGACCTGGCCATATGGATCCAAGCTAAACATATGGTAACAAGTAAAGCAAGAATGCAGAAAGCTATAGATACAGTTAATAAATGGAAAGACACTTAGGGAGTCACAATAAACCAGACCAAAACCGTCACGACTCTTTTCTCTTTCAAAAGCGCTAGAACAAGTTGATCTGTACCTAGATGACAGCATCCTTCCAAAAGAATAAAACCCCACATATTTAAGAGTAGAATTCGACAAAAGACTGATTGTGTGTATTTGCCTTTAGGTCTGGGGTGTGTAATATGGATTTGCACGCACTACTCAAATTCCGGTGTAAGATGAAAATCCAGAAGTGGACTAACAACCCTAACTTTTATAGCCGAAGCACAGTAAGAAAAAGACAAGAAGTAAGAAGAAAAAGAAAAGAAGCAGCGGCAGCAGCAGAAGAAAAATAATCCATCCTCACTCAGTGTGTACTGTAGCTCATTTTATCCTCTAGTATAAATTTAACCTTTTTAAACTCAGTCAGTGTGAACTGTAAGTTAAAAATCATTGAATTATAATCATTCGGAAATAAAAAATCCTCGCTGACACTGAAGATTTCAACTTTAGATACGATCACATGAACAAGTACAAAAGTTCTCTTACATTAAACGAAAGAATCAAACACGGCGCTGAATTAATTCCCCTTGACACTCTCAAGGAGCTGGTACCAATTGAAAAGTGGATAAGGTGATACATGAGAACATTCAGATGATGCGTGACAGAAAGAATGATTAATAGTCAATATTTTTAATCACACGTTCACTGAGAGTGGAAACACGCACACACACACACTCACACACACACACACACACACACACAGAGAACACGCACACACACAGACACAGATACAGACACACACACACACGTTAAAAACGGATATTCCTGAGCACGCTGTTTGATATCAAGGAATCAATACGTAGCCGAAGCAGTTCTTTGTTTGATGAACACAACAGAACAAACACACTGGCATAATAGTTCTTTGTCTGGTGTACAAATGACATTTTAAATACCAAGAGTTTATGCTAGACATTATGGGTTATGTGCACACAAGGTACATTAGAAATCATAATACTTGTACCACGAGAATTTGTGGCAAATAAATGCACATAAAAGTTTTACAATGAGAATTTCTAGAAAACTAGAGAAAATGGCTTTTTTGAAACGAGAATGTGTGGTAAAGTAGAGAATATCGCACTTGAAATGAAATAGGTAAATTAAAAAACCAGGCACAATGAACTGGTACCATGACTACATAAAATATGTTCAAGGATGCCCACTGCCAAGAACCAAAAACGTTTACAAAAGTCAGAAATGTACATTTACATCTTGGGATGTGAAACTAATTGAAAGAGAGCGGAGACAAGATCCGACAACTGCGGAGAATTATCCATGGAAGTGGTAACGATACGATCCGAAAAGTGTGGAATTATCCATAAGCGTGGAAATATAAGATCCTACAATTGCGGAATTATCCATGGGAGTGGGAACGATACGATCCGACATTTCTGGAATTATCCATAAGCGTGGTAAATATAAGATCTTACAACTGCGGAATTATCCATGGGATTGGGAGCGATACGATCCGACATTTGTGGAATTATCCATAAGCGTAGAAATATAAGACCCTACAACTGCGGAATTATCCATGGGAGTGGGAACGATACGAACCGACAACTGCGAAATTATCCGTGTGAGTAGGAACAACTGAAAAGGAGTTGCTATTAATATGGATCTGGGAAAACGAACCTTCATCATCATCATCATCATCCGTGACAGGGTCCTTTGCAAAACGTCGGTCTCTCGCCAGTGCTGGTCGGTCCCTGCCCATTTCTGCTGCTACCATACCTTCTGCTCTTATTCTGTCCACTTCGCCTGTGTCGTTTGATGTGTTCAAACTATTACAGTTTCCAAGAATGAAGATGCAAATACATTAAATTAATGTACAATAACTAACAAAGAAAAAGACCCATACCAAGAGGTTTTCTGAATACCAAAGACAACGCAATCAGGATGGATCAGTTGAAGATATACGGTCTCCTTTAGGGACCGCTGTGTTTTATCATAGATCTTGGTTACAAGGGCCACTTGAAGGGTGATGCGTTTTTTTTCGTTCACGCACACATCGACGGTGGGGTCGCCCACTGGCTCGCCGGTAGACAACTTCGTCGCTGCTCGAGACAGAGTTTGGGTCTGTTCCTCTTTGATCGCATCAACACTACAGGATTCCTTTCTCATGATTCCCTTTGGCGTTCAATGCTAGGGTATTTTATATCATACATAACCTAGTCACAATTATAACCTAAAGCTCCCCATTCGGGGATGCTGGTTGAACGGGAAGAACCCCACCCCCCCCCCCCGCCCAGCAAAGATATAAAAGCAAGCTTCACAATATAACAAACACAAACAAAACGTGCACGTTGCGGCTATTGAGCTTTCATCAGCACATACAAATGAAACAATACTATACAATACTACAATACTGCCCCCCCCCCCCCCCCCCTCAGCAAAGCACCTACCTATCTACGTTTACGCACAACGGTCTAGACGAGACTTACCACGTAAGTGCACCCCTTTCACCCCATAGGTACAAGTACTAATAGGGCCAGACCCAGAAACTTCCACAGGGTAACAGCTAGAGTTCTTCACGACCCGAGTGAAATATAATCTACAGCCATAGACCTCCATGACCCGTTTAACAAACCCCTAACTTCTAAGATAAAAGTTCAGGAGGGCTGTGAACACACACACACTCACACACACACACACACACAAAGTCCATAAAAAACAAAAAACTGAAATGATCAAGATCATAGAACATGTAGTAGGCCGCTAAACATTCTCCAAATGTTCCTACAATTGCAAATTATCCTGCTATTGTTTATGACTCAGATCAGATCCTACGAACAATAAATTCCTCTTGAGGAATAGTCAACAATCGCAAGTAGTGGCAATGTGGATTTGGTTGAGTGGTTGAGAAAATGTCTTCAAATGCTTTATGCTGCCCAGACGTTCAAGAAAGCAGATAATTCACAGCGGGGGGACTGAGATCAGATCAAGTCAGATATCAGGAGAAGATATCTGAAAATAACACCCGTCGGTTTGGTCAACCACTGGGCTGGAACGGAATGAAACAGAGAGTCATTTAAACATAAAGAGAAGTAGATGTCGTACGTCCGAAACAACCTCTGAAGAGAACTAAAAATATCAGACGCGATCTCTGGTTGACAATATACGCAATTTTGATAAACACGAGAAGGTATCCAGCTAGACAACAATACATACAGAATTAGAAATGAAATGATTAAAATAAGACTGGCAATGCCGGCAGTCTGCTCGACTATTTTATGTGTGATGTGTTGGTAGAAATATGCTTAGTCGGCTTGCTAGTTTAGGCTTGCTTGATTGGGCTTGCTTGATTGGGCTTGCTTGATTGGGCTTGCTTGATTGGGCTTGCTTGTTTGATCTTGCTTGATTGGGTTTGCTTGTCTGGGCTTGCTTGTCTGGGCTTGCTTGATTGGGCTTGCTTGTCCGGGCTTGCTTGATTAGGCTTGCTTGTCTGGGCTTGCTTGTCTGGGCTTGCTTGTCTGGGCTTGCTTGTCTGGGCTTGCTTGTCTGGGCTTGCTTGTCTGGGCTTGCTTGTCTGGGCTTGCTTGTCTGGGCTTGCTTGTCTGGGATTGCTTGATTGGGCTTGCTTGTCTGGGCTTGCTTGTCTGGGCTTGCTTGTCTGGGCTTGCTTGTCTGGGCTTGCTTGATTAGGCTTGCTTGTCCGGGCTTGCTTGATTAGGCTTGCTTGTCTGGGCTTGCTTGTCTGGGCTTGCTTGTCTGGGATTGCTTGTCTGGGCTTGCTTGTCTGGGCTTGCTTGTCTGGGCTTGCTTGTCTGGGCTTGCTTGTCCGGGGCTTGCTTGTCTGGGCTTGCTTGATTGGGCTTGCTTGTCTGGGCTTGCTTGATTGGGCTTGCTTGTCTGGGCTTGCTTGTCTGGGCTTGCTTGTCTGGGCTTGCTTGTCTGGGCTTGCTTGTCTGGGCTTGCTTGTCTGGGCTTGCTTGTCTGGGCTTGCTTGTCTGGGCTTGCTTGTCTGGGCTTGCTTGTCTGGGCTTGCTTGATTGGGCTTGCTTGTCTGGGCTTGCTTGTCTGGGCTTGCTTGATTGGGCTTGCTTGTCTGGGCTTGCTTGTCTGGGCTTGCTTGATTGGGCTTGCTTGATTGGGCTTGCTTGATTGGGCTTGCTTGTCTGGGCTTGCTTGTCTGGGCTTGCTTGTCTGGGCTTGCTTGATTAGGCTTGCTTGTCCGGGCTTGCTTGTCTGGGCTTGCTTGTCTGGGCTTGCTTGATTGGGCTTGCTTGTCTGGGCTTGCTTGATTGGGCTTGCTTGTCTGGGCTTGCTTGTCTGGGCTTGCTTGTCTGGGCTTGCTTGATTGGGCTTGCTTGTCTGGGCTTGCTTGTCTGGGCTTGCTTGTCTGGGCTTGCTTGATTGGGCTTGCTTGTCTGGGCTTGCTTGATTGGGCTTGCTTGTCTGGGCTTGCTTGATTGGGCTTGCTTGTCTGGGCTTGCTTGTCTGGGCTTGCTTGATTGGGCTTGCTTGTCTGGGTTTGCTTGTCTAGGCTTGCTTGATTAGGCTTGCTTGCTTGACTTGCATACTGATGTGCTATTGTGTATAGATTTACCATCACTCGTTGTTTTACTTGTTACACTGTTGTGATGATGTTTAGAAAGATGCTATCACTCGTTGCTGGACTCGCACACTGATGAGTTGATGTGTAGAAAGATACCATCACTCGTTGGTTGACTCGCGCACTTATGAGTTGATGTGTAGAAAGATACCATCACTTGCTGGTTGACTCAAACACGGATGAGTTGATGTGTAGAAAGATACCATCACTCGTTACTTGACTCAAACACTGATGAGTTGATGTGTGGAAAAAAACCATCACTTGTTGCTTGTCTCAAACACTGATGAGTTGATGTGTGGAAAAAAACCATCACTTGTTGCTTGTCTCAAACACTGATGCGTAGATGTTAGAAATATACTATCACTCAATGCTAAACTTTCATACGGTTGTCTTATTCTGTATAAAAAATTACCACTCTCTGCTAGGTTAATATACTGATGTGTTGTGATCTAACATACTGATGTGATCTAATATACTGATATGTTGTGATCTAATATACTGATGTGTTGTGATCTAATATACTGATGTGTTGTGATCTAATATACTTATATGTTGTGATCTAATATACTGATATGTTGTGATCTAATATACTGATATGTTGTGATCTAATATAATATGTTGTGATCTTTTATCCTGATATGTTGTGATCTAATAAACTGATGTGTTGTGATCTAATATACTGATGTGTTGTGATCTAATATACTGATGTGTTGTGATCTAATATAATATGTTGTGATCTTTTATCCTGATATGCTGTGATCTAATATACTGATGTGTTGTGATCTAATATACTGATGTGTTGTGATCTAATATACTGATGTGTTGTGATCTAAAATACTGACTGATATGTTGTGATCTAATGTACTGATGTTATGTGGTCTAATATACTGATTTGTTATGGTTTAATATAATGATGTGTTTGTGGTCTAATATACTGATGGGATCTAAAATACTGATGTGTTGTGATCTAATATAATGATGTGTTGTGATCTAAAATACTGATGTGTTGTGATCTAAAATACTGATGTGTTGTGATCTAAAATACTGATGTGTTGTGATCTAAAATACTGATGTGTTGTGATCTAAAATACTGATGTGGTCTAATATACTGATGTGGATCTGACTGATAAAATACTGATGATGTGGTCTTATGGTGTTATGGTTTAATATAATGATGTGTTTGTGGCCTAATATACTGATGGGGTCTAATATACTGATGTGTTGTGGTCTAATATACTGATATGTTGTGGTCTAATATACTGATTTGTTATGGTTCAATATACTGATGTGTTGTGATCTAATATACTGATGAAGTATAATATACAGATGTGTTGTGATCTAATATACTGATGAAGTATAATATACAGATGTGTTGTGGACTAATATGCTGATGTGTTGTGATCTAATATACTGATGGGGTCTAATATACTGATATGTTGTGGTCTAAAATAATGATGTATTGTCGTGCAGAAATATACCATGACTTGCAGCCTGAATCCTATTTTACTGTGTTGATTTGTAGAAAGATACCACTGTTCACTGCTTGACTTGTATACTGATGTATTGGTGTGTAGAAGGTCACCAATGCTCGTTGCTTGACTCGTATACTGATGTGCTGGTGACATATGTCAATGACACAGACTGAGACGGTTACACATTTGTCCCTAACACAAACTGAAACAGATAACACATCTGTCTATAACACAAACTGAAACAGACAACACAGCTGTTTATGACACACACTGAAACAGACATCACAACTGTCTTTAACACAAACTTAAACAGACATCACATTTGTCTATGCCATAATCTTAAACTGATAACACGTGGGTCTATAATACAAACTAAAATAAAAAACCCAATTGTCAGTGATACAACACAGATATTGTTTGATATGTTTTTGACATCACCGAAATTGTTATCTGTTCTCTTATTGGTCTAGAGCTCTAAATAGAAATCTAACCATTGTGAGGAGCAAGCCAGAAATAGCCATCTACGACATGATTGATCACGGGGTGGAGGGGGCTGGCTGGAAGGAGAATAGAGACAGGTACAGATGGTCTGTCTGTCTGTCTGTCTGTCTGTCTGTCTGTCTGTCTGTCTGTCTGTCTGTCTGTCTGTCTGTCTGTCTGTCTGTCTGTCTGCCTGCCTGCCTGCCTGCCTGCCTGCCTGCCTGCCTGTCTGTCCTGTCTGTCTGTCTGTCTGTCTGTCTGTCTGTCTGTCTGTCTGTCTGTCTGTCTGTCTGTCTGTCTGTCTGTCTGTCTGTCTGTCTGTCTGTCTGTCTGTCTGTCTGTCTGTGTCTCTCTCTCTCCCTCTCTCTCTCTCTCTCTCACATAGTCTACATTATACATCCTTATTTAGACAGGAAAGTTACATAGGACTGATGTAGTGGTTACGAGTGCCCCAGTTATAGCGTATTCAGAGGTTGAAAGGGGTATCTAAACTTTCCAGTTTGGTTTGCCACCAGCACTGATATTTTTTGTTTGTTTGTTTTGTTTAATCGTGTCAAACAGGTCATGTTGACCTACCATCCAGATTAAGATCTTTTTATCGTAGGGTGTCAAACTCTTTAGGTAGCAGACTGGCGAGACGCATCGTCTATCAGTTCACTTTCATCTGGTTGTTCTATTTCTTAACATTTGTGTCTGTATACTTTACATTATATGTATTTTTTTAAAATCCGCTTTTTTTTTTAAAACTTGAAACTCACAACTGATATTCAAAGCTACTAAGACTCCCAAGTGACACTCACAACTACTGACACTCCCAAGTGACACAGGCAAAAGAAAGATATACATTTGACAATCCGCTGACATATCTTGTAGATGTACCTGACCAACGTAATTGACACCCTTACCTAATATACATGACAGACAGATATACCTGACAGACAGGCTTAACTCACAGACAGATACACCTGGCATATAGGTATTCTTGACAGATCTAGCTGATCTCTCTCTCTCTCTCTCTCTCTCTCTCTCTCTCTCTCTCTCTCTCTCTCTTCTCTCTCTCTCTCTCTCTCTCTCTCTCTCTATATATATATATATATATATATATGCCCATATATATATATATATATATATATATCTATATATATATATATATATATATATATATATATATATATTTGTTCTCTCTCTCTTTCTCTGTATATATATATATATATATATATATAAATATATATATATATATATATATATATATATATATTACACAGAGAGATATACGGACAAACAAATGGTTACACGTGAAATGTAGACATACCTGACAGAATAAATACTTAAAATATAGACATACCTCAAAGAAAGAAAGTTTTGCGTGACAAAAAGATATATCACAGAAAAACAGATATACATGACAGACTGATATACCTGACGGACCCGTATACCTGACAACACACACACACACACACACACACGTGCATATATATAAATATATATATATATATATATATATATATATATATATATATATATATATATATATATATATAAATTTATATATATATATACGGGCCTATGCTCCATTGGGGGATAGAAAGGCAGAAGAAGAATATATATATATATATATATATATATATATATATATATATATATATATTCATTCATTCAGTAGCATGTCCTCGCGGAACCTCGCTGCCATAACAAACACTCCGGAAAAACCTTCCTATCCTGAGCAAGATGTCCTGCGTCTGATACACCCATCTGGAGATCATCTGCCTCATCCTGCACCCATCTTCTCCTTGGTCTTCCTCTTCCTCTCTTCCCAGGCATATACCCCTCCATTATTGTTCTCTCTAGACTTCCATGACGTTTCAAGTGACCAAAATATTCCAATATTCTTTGTTTTATTGTCTTTACTAGCCAACCCTCTTCAATATTCAGCTATATATATATATATATATATATCTGAGACAGATGGATATAAAATATAACTGACAGCTAAATAAACACACATGGCATATAGAAATACCTTCAATAGAGATGTTCTACATATATACATATAACTGACATATATATATACCTGGTAGACATATATATTTGATAGATAAACCGGACAGATTGCTATATTTGACAGAGAGATATGCCAGACAGACAGGTGTAGCTGACACACAGACAGACATAACAGAAAAATAAATATAACTGACAGACAGATATACCTGATAGATATATTTAACAGGCAAATAAATATACCTGACATATTGATATATCTGACGAAGAGATATACGTGATAGATACATGCAAATGACAGATATACAAGGGCCATTCTAAAATCAACCCCTGATTGGCTTCTAAAAGTGATGTGTTTGCTATAGCGACACCGTTCGTTGCTTGCATCATTCAGTAACCTCTTGGCTCACAACACCCGACGTACAGTCACATTTGTTCTGTGGTTCACGAAACGCCAACGAAGAAACACGAATATTGTCAGTGGTTGTCCCGCTAGCTGTATGATTTGTTTTCTTAAAACGGAGAGTCCATTTGCTTAGTTCTGGGCCTTTTTTTATAAGAAACTTACATAAATGGCTGATAAATAGATATACCTGCAGACAGAAAAATGTATATGCCATATGTAGTATATATATGTAGTAATATGTGGCTGACAGATAGACATACCTACTCACATAAAAATTGCGTGGCACACTGATAGATATATGTGACAGACACATATACATATGTACATATATATTTACACACACACACATATACTATATATACACTGATATGTAAATCGCTATATATAAAATATATATATATATATATATATATATATGTAGTATATATATATATATATATATATATATGTGATTTATATATGTACACACATATATGTACATATATATATACATATATGATATATATATATATATATATATATATATATATATATATATATATATATATATATATATATATGTACACACACACACACACACACACATATATATATATATATATATATATATATATATATATATATATATATATATATATATATATACATATATATATATATGTTAATAACAATGTTAATTTACCAAGTTTGTTAACTATAGACTCAGACACTACTGAGCCGATTGCTTCAATTTTTTACACAACATTGCCTTTGACCCAAAGCGTGATTTTTTGTCAGAAAATCGCACAAACCACGAACGAAGTAGCCCCAGCAATGGTCAAATTATTATTTGTTTCGTTGCCGGCCCGGATTTGTTTTTAGTTTATTGGCCATTTTTGACTGCTGAGCTCTTATTAAACTTTGCGTTACTATATAATTTTATATCCACAATCTTGAGTGTTTGGTAGCGTAGTTGTAAATATTCCGCCTAGCATGCGAATGACCCGCGTTCGATTTCCCGCTAGGTGATAATTGTTCTTTTCCCCTTAAAAGGTCGGTTGCCACGTTGTGTAATGGTTTACAGCTAGACTGCCATATCAGCCTATCGTGTGGGTGACTCGCGTTCGATTCCTTGCTAGGCGATGTATTTTTCTGCCCTCAACTGGGCGGCTGGCACGTTGTGTTGTGTTTTATGGCTAGGCTACGATATCTACGCCTTTTCTCGGTTTGGGGGTTTACAGCTAGCCTGCGATAGCGGCGACGTGATGCTCAATGGTCATGCCACAGGTAATATTCGTTCGCCCTCAAAAGGGCCGTTGGCACGTTGTGTTGCGGTTTACAGCTAGGCTGCGATATCTGACCTAAACTCTTCAGTGTTCGGTAGTATAGTTGTAAGTATTCAACCCTTCACGCAGATGACCGCTAGGTAATAATTGTTCTCTTTCCCCTACAAGGGTGGTTGCCACGCTGTGTTGTGGTTTACAGCTAGACTGCGTTATCTGCGCCTTTCGCCCAAAGACATCCGATTTCAGTACAGCCCCAGTTAGCCTCCCCGCGACGCTTCTCGTTCAAAAACTATTCGACGATGACAGAAACTGTTAACTAAGACGGCTTACAGTCCAGTTTAGTTTGGGTGGACACGGATGCCAAGGTCAGTTAAAAATTTCCTTTCGGAGAGGGAGAGATAACGGGTGCGGGCTTTTATTTCCGCTATTTGTGAGTATAGTGTCCTTTTTTTTTCAATCACGGAATATTACTGTGGGTTCCATCACTGGTTAGGTGATATAGTTTTTTTTTTTTTAATGTCGCGGGCACAGTTAAACTAAACAGTCCGTGACGACAGCATGCGGCGTTAACACCTCTGGCTACAACGACCTGCACAGACAGTATAGACCATTTTGTGTTGTTGTTGTTGTTGTGACGGTGGTGGTGGTGGTAGTGGTAGCAGTAGTACTGGTACTCAATGGGTGATGTGGTAGCTGTTACACAAGCCTCATTTACTTCTCAGCACAGATTAATGCTACCCATTTTAATCTGGGTGGAACGGATGCCAAGCTCGAGGCATGGCGCGCGCATCGAGAGTTAGAGGTTCCGGGTTCAGGCCCCGGTGAAGTCTGGGAATTTTTTCCCGTGGACTTCTAGTAATTTCTCTGGGTATTAAAATCGGTCGAATGTGTTTATTGTTGCGCACGTAAAAAAAATCTTTTGGCAGCTGGAGATCGAAAAGAGTAGCTTAACGGTGCTGCCCGGGCAAAATTTTGAGTCAATAATCTTTCCAAAGTATTTCAGGGATCCTCGCTGGTGGTACGTAGTTCGTGCACTGTGCTTCGGACTTAGGCTTGAGTTGAAAGCACTTTTGGGTTACTAATCTTGTGCCATGACATTGACTCGTTGTATAAACAATAAACATACATACACATACATACATAAATGCTTACATACAAACATACATACATGCATGCGTGCATGCAGACATAATAGATACATACATAATACATAAATACATGTGTATATAATACATACGAACAAACATAAATATTACATGTATACATAATACATTCATAATACATTTATGCATGCATACATACATAAATATATATATATATATATATATATATATATATATATATATATATATATATATATATTTATATATATATAAATCAATGTTTTTTGTGTTGTGTGTGTTTTTGTTTGGTCTCTATAGACTCGGAAACTACTGAACCGATTTAGCTGAAATTTTCAGGATATGTTTGTTGTGATACCGGATTTTGAACCGTCGTGGTTTGAAATTCAACCGGTCACTGTTAGA